GCCAAGAGCCATAAAATTAGAAAGGCAGAACCAAGCACGTAGCTCACACCTATAATACTAGCTACTCAGGAAGCTAAGATCAGTTCAAAACCATCCTGGTTAGACAAATCTCTCTCTCTCTCTTTTTTTTTTTTTTGTCAGTCATGCGGCTTGAACTCTGGGCCTGGACCCTGTCCCTCAGCTCTTCAGCTCAAGGCTAGGGCTCTACCACTTGAGCCACAGCACCACCTCGGTTTTCTGGTGGTTAATGGGAGATGACAGTCTCACAGACTTTCCTGCCCAGGCTGGCTTTGAACCGTGATCTGCAGATCTCAGCCTTCTGAATAGCTAGGATTATAGGTGTGAGCCATTGGCACCCGGCTCTGGATAGACAAATCTAAGAGACTTCTTTTATTTGTCAGTGGTGGGGCTTGAACTCAGAGCCTGGGCACTGTCCCTGAGCCTCTTCGTATTCAAGGATAGTACTCTACCACTTGAGCCACAGCACCACTTCTGGTTTGTTTGTTTGTTTGTTTGGGGGGGGAGGGGGATGAGGTTGAGAATGTGGCTTAGTGGTAGAGTGCTTGCCTAGCATGTATGAAGCCCTGGGTTTGATTCCTCTGTACCACAAAAACAGAAAAGGCTGGAAGTGGTGCTGTGGCTCAGATGGTAGAGTGCTAGCCTTGTGCTGAAGAACTGAGGGACAGTACGTACCCAGGCCCAGAGTTCAGGCCCTATGACTGGCCAAAAAAAGAAAAGAAAAGCTGGAAGAAAAGCTGGAAGTGGATGCATGGCTCAAGTGGAAGAGTGTCTCAACTTGTGAGCAGAAAAACTGAATGAAAGCTCAAGGCCCTGAGTTCAAGAACCAGTACTAGGACAAACAATAACAATAAGGGCAGAAAAGAAACAAGAACAGGAACTAGATATCATACTACACACAGAGCTGAAGTTATCTGGTCTACCTCTCCAGGGTCCCAGGGCCTCATGGTATAATAAGACACCCAACGGTCTAACTGCCAATGCCTGAGAGGCCCTTCAAGGTATCACTGGCCTCTACCATCCTGGCATGCCTGCCCTTGCTCTACCTGCTTCTCATTTCTGCCCTCTAAATGTGAGCAGAGACAAGGGTCCTCCCTCCCCAAGAGAAGCTGGACTGGCTGCTTCGGCCCTGTCTCTGAGCCACTGCAGTGGGAGTTGTCGGCTGAGAGCAATGACTCAGACTGAGTTCATGAAAGACCGCTCTGAGACACAAAGGCTGCAGTCAGAAAGGACATCCAGAGGTCATAGGATCCAACCCCTTGCCTCCTCTACACTGGCCCCAGAGGCTTCTGATGCCCAGACCAGATGGATCCCCCACTTTCCTGGCTCTCCTTGGTCGATGGTACCACTGGTCCCCCTGGGTATTCTTTCTGTGATGAGTCAGAATCTCTTTGTTCACAGATAGCTACTTCTTGGTGAGTCTCCCCCCGCCCTCCCCACATACTTTCCCCCACGGAATACCAGGTTCTGAATGGCCAAGGAGGGAAAAGCTGCTTTTTCCTCCTTTCTGCGTCAAGGAAGGTGCTGAGATAATGGGGAAGGTGTAAATATGATCCAAGTACATTATATACATGTACAACAATGTCACACAAAAACCCATCATTTTGTATAAGAAAACAAACAAGAAGGAAGTACTAGGAAAAGCGCAACTTTACCAGAAGAGAGGAGGGACAAAAAACTAAATGAAGTGTCCTTGCAGGTCTTGTCTGGGCCAAGCGTTGTACTGAGTGGTCTCCTGAATTCTCCAGTGGCAAGGATTGGATGGCAGACAATGGCACAGTCACCATCTTTCTGATGCCCAAATCAGGCTTTAAAAGACTTGTTACACAATCAACCTAGGGTCTAGGTTTTATTTTATTTTTATTTTTTATTTATTTATTGTCAGTCGTAGGGCTTGAACTTGGGGCCTGGACGCTTATCCCTCAGCTCTTCAGCTCAAGGCAAGTGCTCTACCACTTGAGCCACAATGCCACTTCTGGTTTTCTGAGTGGTTTATTAGAGATAAGAATCTCACAGAGTTTCCTGCCCAGGCTGGCTTTGAACTGTGATCCTCAGATCTCAGCCTCCTGAGTATCTAGGATTATAGCAAGTACTTTTTTTTTTTGTCGGTCGTGGGGCTTGAACTCTGGGCCTGGGCACTGTCCCTCAGCTCTTCAGCTCAAAGCTAGCGCTCTACCACTTGAGCTACAGCGCCACTTCCGTATCTAGGATTATAGGCGTGAGCCCCCCAGCACCCAGTTTAGGGTCTAGGATTTAGACCCTAAGAATCAAGGCCTGAGGGAATGAGAGGGAAAGAGGGAACAGCTTACACTAAGCAAAAGAAAAGAAATGTACATATCACCTGTGGAAGAAATAGTTGTATTGTCAAAGCTCATAGAATTCACAAACTTTATAGACCATGATAATGACAATTTGCCTTGTGAAGGTTAAAATGTGTTTGTAACTTTAAGTATCACTATTCCACAATATTGTGAAATATGTGAAATTTATGTAATCACCTAATCTCAATAAAAAAATTTTTTTAAAAAGAATCAAGGCCCTAACTCATTGAGGAGAAACAAAAGTACCATCTCCAAAACAAAATCTCCAAACACTGAAAAAGCCCCTGATTGTTCCAACCTGGGACGGATGAATTGCTATGTCAGGGTGCTCTAAGTATCCTGAGCTGCCCAAGAGAGGGGAAATTGGGCTGGGCTGGCTAGCAGGAGAGAAAGAAAACCTTCAGAGGAGATGGGGGTTCTTAGACAGCTGGTAGTGAGTGGGTCTTTGGTGCGATGGGTTTGTGGGCTGAGCTTGCAGAATGAGCTCAGGCTCCACCCCAGCTCCTTTCAGGAAAGCCAGGAGTCAAAGGCAGACTGCAGGGGCACTAGATCTGGAGGAGGAGGGGACCAAGCCCCCACACCACTGAACACTCACTGTCTGCCCTTGTCCTACTTCTGCCACTAGCAAATAAATCTCTATTCCTGGACACAGTAACCTGAGCAGTGCTTCAATATGAGCTCATGCTTGAGAGGCCAATGGTCCTGTGGATGGCTGACAGAGGGGGTCAGTCAGCTCTGTCCTTCAGGGCTCACATATAGCAGGAAAATTATCACCACAGGTTCCCCTGACTGCCACCACCCACATGTGGTAAAGGAAGAGGCAGGCTAAAACCCAGAAACCTCTCCACCCACACCCAGCTCATCTCCTTTCCTTGGATAAGCCAAGAGATGAAGCTAGAGCTATTGGTTGGGACCTGAAGGGGCTAGAGATGAGGGAGGAATTGGGAAAATCCATCTTAGGTTGTCACTAAGCTTTAGAGGAAGCATCTTTAGACCAGATGGGGGAGGGCACCTTTGAGTGTGAAAACTTCTTCCCCGGTATTTCTGATCTAACTCCAGCGGTGCCAGGATCTTTAGGAAGGTATATCTTAAAGATGCTTCTAACTTGAGCTGGGCATTGGTGGCTTACACCTGTAATCCTAGCTACTCAAATGGCTGAGATCTGAGGATCACAGTTTGAAGTCAGTGCAGGTAAGAAAGTCCACAAGACTCTTATCTCCAATAAACTGACTACAAAAAAAAAAAAAAAAAAAAAAAGAAGTCGGGTGCCAGTGGCTCATGCCTGTAATCCTTACTACTCAGAAGGCTGAGAGCTGAGGATTGTGGTTCAAAGCTAGCTTGGGCAGGAAAGTCCATGAGATTCTTATCTCCAATAAACCACCAGAAAATCAGAAGTGGTGCTATGATTCAAGTGGTGGAGTCCTAACCTTAAGCTGAAGAGCTGAGGGACAGTGCCTAGGCCCAGAGTTCAAGTCCCACGACCAACAAAAATGAATAAATAAAAGAATAAATAAAATGCCAGAAGTGGAGGAGGTGTGGCTCAAGTGGTAGAGTATCAGCCATAAGCAAAAAGCTTAGGGACAGCACTCAGGACTTGAGTTCCAGCCCCAGGACAGGAACTACAACAACAAAAGAGACCAGAGGTTTGAGGATAGAGGTCATTGGCTCTGCTAAAACCCATACAGCAAGAATGGAAAGGATTATAGTTGTCCTGATTTCCACAAGGAAACATTGCCAATCTTGGTTTTTGGCTCATTAAGTTTTGTTTTATTCATTGTTGAGGTTTGAACTCAAGGACTCATACTTGCTTTGCTGGCACTGTACTGCTTGCACCATGCATCCAGGCTAGCCTTTTGCTGGTTATTTTGGCAACAAAGTCTGGAGAATTCTTCTGATCAGGCTGGCTTCAAACTATGATCCTCCAGATCTTAGCTTCCTGTATAGCCCAGGATTATAGGCAAGACCCATCAATGCCAGTTTAAGTTGTCTTCTTTTTTAGGTCCAAGATGGACTCACACTCAGTAATTGATGTTCACGGGCTAGCGCTCTACCAACGGAGCCACATCTCCAACCTTAAGTTGTCTATCCATTTGAGGGGTGCGGTGGTACATGCCTGTAATCCTAGCTCTAGGGACAGTAAGGCGGGAGCTTCTGGGCTACATAGTGAGCTTCTGGGTTATATAGTGAAACTCTGATTCAAAAAATCCTCTCTTCCTCAGGAGACCCTATGCTCTAATACAGGTATCTGGAAGTTTCTCTCTCCAGGCCAGATAGGCATCAAGTTAATGGAGTGGATGATTCCCTTATTTTTCGTTCGCCAAGCATCTTCCTCCTGCACTATCAGGAAATATAACTTCGATCTCAGCTATTCTGCCGCAGCCTCAAAACCTATATATCTATTTCCTGCCTTCCCCCTCCCCACAACCCCATCCAGACCCCTGCCTTCCTTCAAGTCATGTTACGTGCACCCCTCATCTCGGGGATGTGGGGTTCGTTGTCAAGCAACCCCCACCACTTCTTTTTCCTCCAAGCCCCGCCCCGTCTTGTCGAGCCCCCCCAGACTCCGCCCAGCTGGCCCTCCTGGCCACCGCGGCAGCCAATGGCTGCGAGTCTTGATTTGCATAGCAGCGCGGGGGCGCGGCGGAGGAAGGGGGAGGGACCAGGCGACCTCCTAAATCAAAGTTGGGAGGCGAGGACTGGGCGGAGGGGCCGCGGGGTGCTGGGCTGGGGCCGGCGGGGAGGGGGGGGGAGGAGGATGGGGGGCGGGCGCAGAGGACGGCGGAGCGGGCCGGACACGGACAGCTCCGTCGCTCCTTCCTTCGGCTCATCCCCACATCCCCGCTTCCCCCCTCCTTCGGCGGTGAGCAGCCTCCTCTGCGGACCCTCGGTCCTGTCGGCCGGGGGTCGTCCGTCTCCCGCGGCTCCCCGCACTCGCCACCTCGGCAACTTTCTCCACCAGAGCCCGGGGCTGGGGGGGCTGCTCTGCCTGGGCGGGTTTCTCCCGGGGTTCCTCGGGGGGCAGCCTCTGGAGGAAGGCTTCAGAGTCCCGTAGAGACGCCCGTCGCCCGCACCCTGCCCTGGGCCGGCCTGCCGTCGGGTCTCCGCACCCTCGCTTCTCCGGTTCCCCCCCACCCCCGACAACCATGACCGAAATGAGCGAGAAGGAGAACGAGCCGGATGACGCGGCCACCCACACCCCCCCGGGGACCGTCTCCGCCCTCCAGGAAACCAAGGCAAGTCGGGGGAAGGGGGGCGCGCCGGGCCTGGCCCCCCCGCCCGGGACGCCCCTGGCCGGGCGCTCTCCTCCGGGGATGCGCGGGCCGCCGTGGGCTTCGGAGCCTTGGGGTCACGGACGCCCGCGTGATCCCCAAGACTGCGAGCCGCGGCGGGGCGGGGGAGGGGAGTGGGCTCGCGACGCGGGGTGTCAAGGACCCTCTCCCCACCACCACCACCCCAACCACACGCGCCGGGACGCGCGCAGCAGCGGACGCGTCTCGCCCCCTCCCGGGCGGCCGCAACTCGGCTTTGTTGGAGGGAAGCGGCGCGGCGGAGGCGCAGCGAGTGTGGCCGTGTGTAGCGGGTGTGGGCCGGTGTACGCGCGCGGGTGTGCGTGCGAGACGCACCCCCTCCCGGGGCCGCCACCCCTGTCTGCAGCTCCGTCGCTCAGTCGCGTCTCTGGGAATTGTCTCTACAACCGTCTGTCCCTGCCCTGGCGTCCTCTGCGTGCCTCTCGCGCGGTTTCTCTCCGCGTCCCTACGTGCTGAGTTCCCGCGCGCCTCTCTCACACCCACCGCGGGCTCGGATTCCCGCTCCCCGCCGGGTTGGGTTCGGGGGGACCCGGGGGCTGCGGCTCGCCGGGCGGGCGCCCCGGGGCTGCGGCAGCGCGGGCACTCCGTCGCAGGCCAGGGACCCGGGGTGTCGTTGCGGCTTCCGAGCCGCTGCGAGAAAAGCAGCCCCACCCCCCACCCCCACCCCGGGAGCAGGGTGAGGGGAGGAGGGCGGGCAGGAGCAAAAGGAGAAGTCATCCTAATTAATGAATGTCATAATTAACCCTAATTATGTATGATTGTTACTCCTGCGGGAGTCGCAATGAATAAATTATTCCCCAGTGAAGACAGGCGGAGCCCAGACTCCAGGCATTGAAAGACAGTCAGGGGGGTGGGGGAGGCCTATGCTCACATTCAGCCCCCCTCCTCTCTTAATCTGTCTAATCCATCCCCAAGTTCTAGGTACCCAAGAAGTTCTGCAGGAAGCAACCTGAGTGGGGCTGGGGATGGAAAAGAGCAGAGGCCGTGTCCAGGATGCCCCCTGCACCTCTTCCCCTCACGCCCCACCCCAGACTTCAGGCCAAGACCTCCTTCCTTCTCTCCTGATGTTTTGCATTGTTTTGGTTTTTTTTTTTTTTCCTCCTGCTCTGGGTATCCAGAAGAAAGGAGCCACGAAGACCAGAAATGGGTGCGGTCTTGAGTTGTCCAGTGCCACTAGCTCATCTAGCTAGACCTCTTCCTGTGATGCCCTTTTCTCCCCATTCCATGGGACTGCTACTCACAATGAGAGGTTAAGTCAAGGTCAAGGTCATCAAGGAAGTGACCAAGGAGAGGTGAACAGGACTAGAGTCCTGTCTGCAGGAGGCCTCTCAGTTTCTTTCTATCTCTGAACCAGGAGACCCAGTGGGTCTCCATGTTCAAGCCTTCAGGGTACACTTGACCTGCTGCTGCCTTCTGAAAATGAGACTCTGGCCCTTCACAATCAAGTCCCCCTTATAGAGCCACATCTCTCCTGGGAAAGGAATGAAGTGTTGGGGGCGGGGGTGAATAAGTTCCTGGTTATTTGTGACAGCTTCTGTCAAGCAGAATCCTTGGAGTTGAGCCACACCCTGAGTTCCAATATCCCTGACCTCTTTGGCTGCCCTGTAGTCACCGTGGGCAGACATACAATTCCTTGCTTGCTTCCCAGGGACTTGGAGCTTCCCAAGGCTCCCCATTCCAAGGTCTGCCTCCTCCGGCCGGCTGGTCCCTCAGGAGCTCTCCAAGGCAAGCAGGCAGGCAGGAATGCAGTGCCACCTCAGCAGTCCTGCAGGCTGCAAGCTCAGCAATGTGGGGAGGCGGGGGTCAGGGCCTGGCAGATCCCTGCCTCACTCCTACTTACACAAGGACCCTCCAATGTCATCAGCTCCGGGTCTGAGCCACAGAGGTCCATGAAACAGAGGAGAGGGATTGCACATTTGGCCTGACCCCTTTGTACTAGGCCAGTTGGAGCCCTGGCCCTTTGGACTCCCTTCACATATATGAAAGATTAAAAAATGACAACAAACCAGGTGCCCAGAGCTCATGCCTATAATCCTAGCTAAGGAGGGCTGAGATCTGAGGATTGTGGTTCAAAGCTAGTCCTGGGCAGAAAAGTCCATGAGACTTTTTTTTTTTTTTGGGTCCAGTCGTGATGCCTGAACTCTGGGCCTGGGCGCTGTCCCTCAGCTCTTCAGCTCAAGGCTAGCGCTCTACCACTTGAGCCATAGCGCCACTTCCGGCTTTTTTCTTTTTGCTTATGTGGTGCTGAGGAATCGAACCCAGGGCCTTAAGCATGCAAGGCAAGCACTCTACCACTGAGCCACCTTCCCAGCCCCCTCCATGAGACTCTTATCTCCAGCTAACCACCAAAAAGCCAGAAGTGGAGCTGGGGGGGCAGGGGGACTTAAGAACAGTGCCTAGGTCCTGAGTTCACTGGTGTGCAAACATGCACGCACTCACGCATGCGCACGCGCGCGCGCGCGCGCGCACACACACACACACACACACACACACACACACACACACACACACACACACACACACACACACACTACCCTGGGCTGTGGGAACATCAGGGGAAGCTATTCAGCAAGGCAGAGGTGGACAGGGAGAGAAATCAGGGTCCTTGCTCAGTCAGACCCAAAGGGCTTTGTGTCCCCAGACTCTAGGGGGAGGGAGATGGAAGAGAAAGGGGATGGTTACTGCCCATCCAGCTCAGTGTGAAGTGGGTACAAGAGAACTGATGCCATGAGGCAATGAAGCTAACATTCCAGGCTTATTTATTAGTTTGGTGCCACCTGGCATTTCTTGCCAGACTGAGCCCAACCTCTGCCTGACTCTTAAGTCAGGGTTGCAGCCCTGTAACCTACCAATTCAGTGATCTTCTTAGTGGATCTTCCTCCAGTTTGGGTCTCCAACCATCTTACTACACTGGGCCTGCTCATCACCCTTTTTGATGCCATCCCTGGGAGGACCCTGCCATGCCAGCTCTGTCATCTGAGTCAGCTTGCGCCACATCCGCCTCCACCCACTGCCAGCTGCCTAGTGTCCTTTCAGGAGAGGCTGTGGGAAATTGAGGAAAGAAGGGGCCTTCGGGGAGTGATGAGGTAGGGGAAGATGAGGTCAGCCCCTGGCTCTGGAGCAGGTTCCAAAAGACAGACCTGGTAGCCTAGGTTCCAAGTCAGACAGACTGTAAGTACAATATGAAGGAATAGGGTCTGTGCAGGCCAAGTTGCCAGAGTACATGCCAAGGAATGGGTCCCAGGGCAGTGGAGATACCGAAAAAAATAGCTAAGCCAGGCACTGGTGCCTCATACCTGAAATCCTAGCTACTCATGTGACTGAGATCTGAGGATTGCTGTTGAAGCTTATCTTCCATTAACCAGAAAAATGCCAGAACTAGAGCTGTGGATCAAATGGTAAGGCACCAGACTTGGGTGAAAGAGTTAAGTGAGAATGCAAGGCCCCGAGTTCAAGCTCCAGTACTAACATTCAGAGAGAGAGAGAGAGAGAGGTAAGATGGGGAAAGATCCTCTTCAGGACTAAGAGACCCAGGAACAAGAATACCTCATTTAGCAGAGTTGCCAAGCCAGATACCACTAAAGTGGGCAGGCATCAAACCACTTGGCACAGGTGTCCCTGTCTTGCCTCTGGGCCACAGCCCTAGCCAACTGCCAGCCACCCCAGGTGGCATGTCATTTTTTCACTTCTCTGCCCTCCTGGGATGTAAGGCCCACAGCTGAGCCAGGGAGTGGGCAGGCAGAGTTGAGACTGCTCTAGTGCTGGAGAACATTCTGTTCTAGAGGCCTCTGGTACCCTGCAGAGGTGGCTGTTGGCACTGAGATCCAGGGAGGGGTATACCAGGAAAGAGCACAGGCTGGAGAGTGGGGAGGCTTACAGTCTCATTCCACAACAATCACTGTATCAGAAGGGCTCGTGTGTCTAAGAGGGAGTGATCATTGTTGGAGCCAAGAGAGGAGTTGTTTGTCCAAAGTCACAAGGGGGCTGGTTTCAGCTCTATGCTTTCAAGACATTGTAGCTGCCCAAAGATAGAATGGCCATCCCAAGAGAGGGTGTGCAAGAGGTCACCAACAGCCATCCAAAGGAGAGGTGGGGGACAAGCCCACAACCCCCTTCTAGCCCTAAATGCCTTCACAGACCTGGTGGGCCAGCCTATAGCACAGCTGAGGGCAAGGATGGCAGGTGGCTCCCAGAGCAGACAGATGCTCTTGGTCATTTGGGTCCAGCAGCCAGGGCCATGTGAAAATTCCAGTTCTGACTCTAGTGGTTACCAGACAAGTCATGCAAAAGTGATTTAAGCCCTCTGAGCCTCCGTTGCTCATCTGAAAAGTGGGGCAATAATGGTCATTACCTCAGAGGGGAGCATCAGCCAGGCGCTGGTGGCTCATGCCTGTAATTCTAGCTACCCAAGGGGTTGAGCTCAGAGCATCACAGTTTAAAATCATCCTGGGCATAAAAATTCTTGAGACTCCTCTTATCTCGTTAACCATCTAAAAGCCAGATGTGGAGATGAGGCTCAAGTGGCAGAATGCTAGACTTGAGCAAACAAAACAAAACAAAAAACTAAGGGATGGCAGCCAGGCCCTGAATTCAAGCCTCAGATTCCCCCCGCCACACACACACACACACATACACACAAAGAGATTAACGGGTTGGGAAATGGCGCTGTGGCTCAAGTGGTAGAGCTCTTCAGCTCAAGGATAGCTCCCAGGCCCAGAGTTCAAGCCCCACAACCAACCAAAAAAAAAAAAAAAATTAATGGGATGCTGCATAGAAAGTTCTAGTTCAATTCTAGTGATCTGACAAAGACAGCCTCTCATGTACATTCTCTGGGTTTATTTGAACTCAGAGTTTTGTATTGCCCAGAGAGTATCTCATCCTGCCTCTTCTATCTTAGATGTGGGGAAACTGAGATTCACAGAAAGGAAGTAGAATGATTTATGTTCAGGAAACAGATTGATTTTCTCATCATTGCCTGAGCATGTCTCCCTAGTCTAACCTCCCATGTGCTATATGTCTGAGACCCCTGGGCAGAACAATGGGAGATTTACTGATCTCTCGGGGCTCATCAAAGCCCGTAGTCATATTTGGTCGTAAATGGCCACCACCTAACCTGGCATTTGTTTTCTCCTTAATTGTCTCCCTGGCACTTTGTCTCTACTCCTGTGCCCAGGCATCTGGGGCCCAGGGCCCTGATTCTCACAGATGCACAAAGAAGCCCACAGTGCTGTCCAGGAAGCTGGGCTTGGAAGGAGCTGAGCAATTTAATGTGCCAGATACCCCAGGGCCCTGGCCTCCCAGCTGGCACACCAGTGCCTGCCTTGTGTCCAAACATCCCCTCTGCTTCCCTTCCATCTTACTGCCTACTGCCTCCTAGACACTGGAGGGGCCACTACTTCCATCTTTTTGGCACAGGTGCCAGGCAGGCAGCCATAACACACAGGCTGCCTGGCATGCCAATTGGAAACCCTAGCCAAGATCCTTTGTCTGCAGCCAAACCTGTGTTGTCCCCCACCCTCTGCCCCTCTGCTTTTCTATCCCTAGTGGGCAGGGGGTAAAACAGCTTCCAACAGGAGGAAAGAGGGGTGAGGCTCTGGGAAGGAAGGCCTCCACATCTTGTTCTGGGAAGACTCAGTAAGGTTATGTGTGGGTAAGCAATGGAAAGAATGCTAGGTTCACTGGTGAATTGACCCAGAACTTTGGTCATGTGAGCTCCATGTAAGATGGAAGCCACTTGAGTCAGATGCTAGTTGCTTACACCTGTAATCCTAGCTACACACAAGGCTGAGATCTGAAGATCACAGTTCAAAGCCAGCCTGGGTAGGAAAGTCTGTGAGACTCTTATCTCCAATTAATCAGCAAAATGCTAGAAGTGGAGATGTGGTTCAAGTGGTATTACACCAGCCTTGAGCAAAAAACCAAAAAACTGGCCCTGAGTTCAAGCCCTAGTACTGGCACGTACACACACATGTGCACGTACCCACTCCCCCACCCCCCACAAAGTGTCAAACAGCCACTTGCTCATCAGGTATCCAGGAGAGGCACACTGAGCCCTTACTGTATATTGAGGCCCTCTATAGGGATTTGAGGTGGCAGTGCCTGCCCTTGAGGAACTCACAGTCTCCAGAGGAAACAAAAAGTAGATGACAAGCCAGGCACCGGTGGCTCACGCCTGTAATCCTAGCTACTCAGGAGGCTGAGATCTGAGGATAGAGGTTCAAAGCCAGCCTGGGCAGGAAAGTCCATGAGACTCTTATCTCCAATAAACCACTAGACAGCCGGAAGTGAACACTGTGGCTCAAGTGGTAGAGCGCTCGCCTTGAACTGAAGAGCGCAGGCATAGAGCCCAAGCCCAGAGTTCAAGCCTTATGACCAACCAAAAAAAAAAGTAGATGACAGGTGCAACCTGATTGGAGCTGTAATGCAGATTGGTCCTGGAGTAGGTGCAGTGGTCACAGGAGGAGGAAGTGGTTCTATTCATGGACTTCCTACAGAAAAGCTGGCTTGGCCAGAGAGGGAAGGTATTGAGTAGGTAAAGAGAATGGTCATTAGACTTGATCTCCAGAGCTCAGCTTTCTGAGTAGGATTACAGGCAGAAGCTATGGAGTCCCTATGTTTTGTTTTAACTTGACTAATAGTTCATTCAGGCAATGAAATGATATGTGACCGTAAAAAAAAGAATGATGAGCCGGGCACTCACATCTCAGGGGGCTGAGATCTGAGGATCGTGGTTCAAAGCCAGCCTGGGCGGGAAAGTCCCTGTGAGACTCTTATCTCCAGTTAACCACCAGAAAACCAGAAGTAGTGCTATGGCTCAAGTGGTTGAGTGCTTGCCTTGAGCTGAAGAGCTCAGGGACAAAACCCAGGCCCAGAGTTCAAGCCCCATGACTGAAAAAAAAAAAAAGAATGATGAAACTCCTTATGCATTTGTCTAGAATGATTTCCAAAATAAAATTAAGTGAAGAAAGCAAAGTAAAAGAGAAAGTTTATTTTTTTATTTTCTGCTAAGAGCAAAGAAAATCTTTTCAGTTGTTTCTATCCCATTTCAATAATAGTTTTTTGGTTTTGGTTTTGGTTTTTTGTTGGACACGGGGCTTGAACTCTGGGCCTGGGCGCTGTCTCCCAGCTCTTCAGCTCAAGGCTAGCCATCTACCACTTGAGCCACAGTGCCACTTCCAGGGTTTTTTTTTGTTTGTTTTTTGTTTTGGATCCGGTCATGGGGCTTGAACTCTGGGCCTGGTCGCTGTCCCTCAGCTCTTCAGCTCAAGGCTAGCTAGCACTCTACCACTTGAGCCACGCCACTTCTGGCTTTTTTCTTTTTGCTTATGTGGTGCTGAGGAATCGAACCCAGGGCCTCATGCATGCAAGGCAAGCGCTCTACCACTGAGCCACCTTCCCAGCCCACTTCCAGTTTTCTTGTGGTTTATTGGAGATAAGAATCTCACGGATTTTCCTGCCTGGGCTGGCTTTGAACTGTGATCCTCAGATCTCAGCCTCTGCGTAGCTAGGATTACAGGCATGAGCCACCAGCACCTGGCTTGTTTTGCTTTTTTTTTTTTTTTTTTTGGTCGGTTGTGGGGCTTGAACTCAGGCTTGGGCTCTGTCCCTGCGCTCTTCAGCTCAAGGTGAATGCTCTAACAATTTAGCCACAGCGCCACTTCCAGTTTTCTAGTGGTTTATTGGAGATAAGAGTCTCACGGGCTTTCCTTCCCTGGGCTGGCTTTGAACCTCGATCCTCAGCTCTCAGCTTCCTGAGTAGCTAGGATTACAAGCGTGAGCCACCGGCATTCGGTTTGTTTTGCTTTTGAGACAGGGTCTTGTATATATCCTATCAGCCTTCTGAGTACTGTGATGATAGGCATGTATCACCACACTTGACAAAGTCGAAATAATTTCTTTTGGAAAGGTGGGGGTGGTGGGTAAACCTGGCTAGCCTTACAGCCAGCCTCAACTGGCTGGAGGACACCAGGCACTATTCCCTAGCTATAGGTTTGCCACTCTTTCTTGTGTACCCATCTGGACAGAACTCCCTTAAAGATTTTGAAGGTTACCTGCCTAGCTCCTGCAAGCTGGAACACAGGAGCCTCACTTAGTGCTTCCTCTTGGCTCTAGGCCTCTGCACGGCTGGCTGCTACAAGCAACACCCTGCAGGAATCCTGCCATGGGCAGCCCCCAACTGCTTCCCACTCACAGCTCTTCTTCTTCTTCTCCCAGCTCCAGCGATTCAAGCGCTCCCTCTCTCTCAAGACCATCCTCCGCAGTAAGAGTGTGGAGAACTTCTTCCTTCGCTCGGGCTCTGAACTCAAGTGCCCGACCGAGGTGCTGCTGACACCCCCAACCCCACTGCCCCCTCCTTCTCCACCACCTGCATCCACAGACAGAGGTCTGCCCACTCCAGCACCGTCCCCGTGCCCTGTCCCACGCCCCCTGGCACCACTCAAACCGGTAAGGCTGCACAGCTTCCAGGAACATGTCTTCAAGAGAGCCAGTCCTTGCGAGCTATGCCATCAGCTCATTGTAGGTAGGCACCTGGGCCCTGTGGTGGGCAAAGGGAAGGGATCCAGTGGGCCGTGGAGAATAGAACAGCCTGATATTAGAGTCTTGCTCCACACACCCACCCCCCAGCACTAACTGTGTTGACTGTGCTCGCTCCCCCCCACACCTCTCCCTCTCTCTGTTTCTCTCTGTAGACAAATGTGCATCATGAAGGGCTGGAGGGTAGCTTGGTGCATAATATGTATAAGGCTTTGGGTTCTATCCCCGGTGGCACAAAATAAATCAATGCATTGTCCTGAGAGGTGACCATGTGCCCAGTGTGGCTCTATGTTCATAGACACCTTGGCTTTAAGTGTTACTTTATACACTGTATGAGGCAGAGGTGCCAAGTTTCAAGACTGGCATGACAGTGCCCAACCTCTGCTCTCTCCTCATGCCCTCACTGGCCAACCCTTGCCCAACCCTTCTCACTGAACTCAAATTCTTCCCAGGAAACTCCAAGCAAGGCTTACGATGTAAGACATGTAAAGTCAGTGTCCATCTCTGGTGCTCTGAGGAGATCTCTCACCAGCAATGCCCAGGCAAGACGGTAAGCTGGGGCAGGGGGAGCATCATATGGAGATATGAGTGAATGAACCCCTCCAAGCTGGTTCTTCCTGTGAGGCTTTCCCTAGCTGTGGGAAGGGCCAAGCTCTCCATAAGCCATGACTTCCTCTGCCTCTTCTTGCCACAGTCCACCTCCTTCCGCCGTAACTTCAGCTCTCCCCTCCTGGTGCACGAGCCACCACCAGCCTGTGCCATGAGCAGAGAGTCCCCACCCACTGGTAAGTTTCCCCCCTGGGGCCCATGCTAGAAGTGGTGTGATGAGAAGTCTATATATTCCTCAGATGGGTGCCAGAGTCCCACTGGCCACTGTCTGCTTGGCATTCTTACCATGTCCCTTCTGTGGATGCCCTTGTGCTGAATGCCACCATGCTAGACACTGGGACACAGCTCTGAAGAAGGTGGCATTTATGAACTACAAAGGAACTAGACATGAAATAGACAACCCTACCAATCATCTATTGCTCACCATCCAATGAGTGCCTCAGAATGAGACTAGGGAATAAAGAGAATCAAATGCATTCTGTGCCCATCTGCAGTCAGGGAAGACTGCCTGGAAACATGAAAGGATCCGAGGAAGGCATGTGAGCAGAGGGAGGCCTGAGACAGACAGCGAGAGGCAGGGAGGTAATGAAAGAAGAACTGAGGATGCCAGGCCTTGTGGTCCATTTTCTTATGGTCTTTTAGTCTCTCCTCTAAGAGAAATCATGTGTTTTTAGGTGATCCTCTGGCTGCTGTGTAGATGGGAGGGGATGGAGTGGAGGCAGAGAGTTGGGTTGGAAGCCATGGCAGTTGTCAGGAGAGTCGGGTAAGCTTGATTGGGCTAGAGGCAGTGGTGATGAAGAGAAGTGGGCAGAGTCTAAGGATATTGGATTAGGGGCTGAAATAGCCGTGGTTCCTAAGGGCAACAAGGAGTAAAGAAGGCTCCAGATCTCTGCATGGGCACCGTGGGAGGACATGGGATACCACTGGATGAAGAGGTCTTAGAGGGGTGGGTAAAGCATAAGATGGAGACTCTGCCTGGAACGTGCTAAGCTAGAGGACCTGACCAGGCAACCAGGACTAGAAATGGCTCCTTCAGGGAGGAGCCAGACTGGAAGCTGATGCCAGGCCTTTGAAGGTGCATGCTCCACAGGAACCAGTGGAAAGGTGGACCCAGTCTATGAGACCCTGCGCTATGGCACCTCCCTGGCACTTATGAACCGCTCCAGCTTCAGCAGCACATCTGAGTCCCCCACTCGGAGCCTGGTACGGTGGGCACAGAAGGGGAGTCCAGAAGGAGGGAATGTCTGAACATGATAGTAGACCCCACGATGGAGCCTTCTCTTCTCTCTGTTCCCAGAGTGAGCGGGATGAGCTGACTGAGGATGGGGAAGGCAGCATCCGCAGCTCGGAGGAGGGACCTGGGGACAGCGGTGAGCTGCGGTGGGAAGGACAGAGGGGCAGGGAGGAGGGTGCTCTGCTCTTCTCCCCTCCGTTTTATACCTTGGCTCCACCCTGGTGTGTCTAGTATTTACAGCTCCAGCTGAGAGTGAAGGATCAGGACCAGAGGAGAAGAGCCCTGGACAGCAGGTGAGCCCAGGCTGGCCCAGAGCCTCATCAGTGGGGAGTGGAAAGGGGTGTCATTGTTGTCACTGTCCATGTTGTTCTTGTCATTGGCCCATAGATGGGGAGAACATTCACTGCTCCCTCACTTACCTGAAGCCTTCAGGGACAGGCAATGTCAAAGTTAGAGGCACAGGGGGTGGAGGAGATCCCTCTCACCCTGCCTGCTTCCTACAAGGGCAGGCAATTTCAGGGTGCAGCAGGCAGAAAGTGTCTTTTCTTCCCAGGCCCAGTCCATCCTTTTCAAAGTGAACAAGCACAGCAGGCAGAAGGTGATGTAGCACAGGTTAGCTGCAGTTTACTGAGGGCTGGGATTACAGGTGTGTACCACCTTGCTAGAGTGTCTTTTTTTTTTTTTTTGTCAGTCTTGGAGCTTGAAGTCAAAGCTAGCACTCTACCATTTTGAGCCACAAACCTACCCGTTTCTTAGGTTTGTTTTTTGTTTTTGTGGCTAACTGGAGATAAGATTACAGGTGCACACCTGTAATCCTAGCTACTCAGGTGGCTGAGATCTGAGGTTCAAAGCCAGCCCAGGTAGGAAAGGCCAGGAGACTCTGATCTCTAGTAAACTACTCAAAAAAAGCTAGGTGCTACGAATGTGGCTTAGTGGTAGAGTGGTAAAGTGCTTGCCTAGCATGCATGAAACCCTGCATTCAATTCCTCAGTACCACATACATAGAAAAAGCCCAAAGTGGTGCTGTGGCTCAAGTGGTAGAGTGCTAGCTTTGAGCAAAAGAAGCTTAGGGACAGTGCCCAGGCCCAGAGCTCAAGCCCCAGGACTGGAAGAAAAAAAAGAAGAGAGAGAGTGAGAGAGAGAAAGAAAGAAAGAGGGAAGGAAGGAAGGAGGAAAGAAAGAAAGAAAGAAAAGAAAGAAAGAAGAAAGAAAAGAAAGGAAGGAAGGAAGAAAAGGAAGGAAGGAAGAAAGAAAAGCCGGGTGCCAGTGGCTCACATCTGTAATCCTAGCTACTCAGGAGGCTGAGATCTGAGGATAACAGTTCAAAGCCACCCAGGGCAGGAAAGTCCGTGAGACTCTTATCTCCAATTAACCACCAGAAAACAGGAAGTGGTGCTGTGGCTCAAGTGGTAGAGCACTCCCCTTGAGCTGAAGAGCTGAGGGACAGCACCCAGGCCCAGAGTTCAAACCCCATGACCCACAAAAAGAAAGAAAGAAAGAATGAAGAAGAAAAAGCCAGTAGTGGCACTGGCTCAAGTGGTAGAGGCACTATTCTTGAGTACAGAGAGACTCAAGGACAGAGCCCAGGACCTGAATTCAAGCACCAGGACTGGCAAAAAAAAAAAAAAGTCTCATAGGGATTTTCCTGCTTAAGCTGACTTTGAACCATGATCTTCAAATCTTAGCGTCCTGAGTAGCTAAAATGACAGGCATGAGCCACCAGAGCCTGGCTAGAGGATCTTACTTCTATCACTGACATAGGACCCATCATGTCCTACCTCATGATTATTGGGGAAAGCATGCCCAGAATGCCTGGGCAGTGGGAAGAACCAATGTGATGTTTACTGCTGACCCAGAGCTTCTCCCCCAGCTCCCCAGGCCGCCCCTGCGGAAGGATGTAGGCCCCATGTACTCCTACGTTGCACTGTACAAGTTCATGCCCCAAGAGAACAATGACCTGGCTCTACAGTAAGTCCTCTCTGTGATTGGGCCCCACGGTACAGCTGCCAGACTCCAGCCGCAGGGATCTACCTCCCATTCCTTGCTACCCTGGCTACATGATGGGGTGGGGGACTTTCTTGAATCTTCTTCTTGCACACTTGAGGCTGCTGAGCCCAGACGGGCACCCAACCTACCCAGGGTATAAGAGTGACTGGTGCAGCCCTTTCTGGGCTGTCCTTGAGAAACGCCTGCTGTACCTATGGTCACAGTGCACTCGAAGAATATTGAGGCTCCTCTCCCAGCTGAGGGGCATGCAGAGGGCCCAGTTGCCTAGATGCTACCCCAGCTCTGTCCTCCCCAGGCCTGGAGACCGGATTATGCTGGTGGATGACTCTAATGAAGATTGGTGGAAGGTAACTTGACAGAATGGGGCATGGAGGGACTCTGGCAGGCTCTGCCCCCAGCTTTTCTCAGGGTCCTAAAGAGACCTGTGTGTGTGTGTGTGTGTGTGTGTGTGTGTGTGTGTGTGTGTGTGTGTGTGTGTTTCTGTCTATCTGTCTGTCTTTGTCAGTACTTAAGGCCTGGGTGCTGTCCCTTACTTTGCTCAAGGCTGGTGCTCTATCACTTGAGCCATAGCTCTACTTCTGGCTTTTTGCTAGTGAACTGGAGATGAGAGCCTCATGGACTTTCCTGCCAGGGCTGACTTTGAATTGCAGTCTCTGGATCTCAGCTTCCCGAGTAGCTAGATTTACAGTAGTGAGCCCATGGGTGCCCAGCTAACCTCCCTTCTGACCACAGGCCTGGCCAAGCCTAGGACCAACCCTGAGGCCTTGCTGACAGTTTGACTCTCTTTGCCTCGGTTTTGTCCCCTGATCAGCTCATACCCTTCCCATCTCAGAAGCACCAGCTGAGGGTTGGAATTATGACAACCCAGAATCTGGAGGATAATGGCATTGGCTCTGAGTGTGAACTAGGTCTAGAGAAGGCATGGGGGTAGCACTGAGGCTCAAGGCCAACCTCATCCCCAGGGCAAGATCGGCGACCGGGTTGGCTTCTTCCCAGCCAATTTTGTACAGCGGGTGAGGCCAGGAGAGAATGTTTGGCGCTGCTGCCAGCCCTTCTCCGGGAACAAGGAACAGGGTTACATGAGCCTGAAGGAGAACCAGGTAGGTACCGGGGGTGCTAGCTTAAGCCCTGTTGAGAGCATGGGAGAGAGGTGCAGAGACAGGGAAGAGTGCCCTGGGAAAGGTTTTGTGGCCTGACATAGGAGGAAAAGCAGGTTAGAAGTGAAGAGACTTCAGGGCCCTCCCATCATTCCCTGTGAGAAATTAGGGCTGGTGATTGATAGAGGCAGGGAGCTGAATGACCCGGGGGCATCGCAGGAGCACTGGGTTGAGTCCAGAAGTTTGTTGAGTGTGGGTGGCTCACACCTATAATCCTAGCTACCTAGGAGACTGAAATCTAAGGGTCAAAGTTCAAAGCCAGCCAGGGCAGAAACATCCATGAGATGCTTATTGTCAGTTAACCAGCAAAAACCCAAAAGTGGGGATTTGGCTCAAGTGGTAGAGCTAAATGAGAGGCCAAAGCCCCGAGTTTAAGCCCCAATACTGGCACCAGAAGAAAAAAAAAAAAAAGCCCAGTAGTTTGGATTTGAATGCTGATTCTGCCTCTGGCCTGTTGTGTCATTGTGGATGAGCTCTATTCCCTCTGTTACCTCCTCTGAGAAATGGATATAAGGAAGAACATTGGACCAGCTAATTTCCAGAGTCAGCCCTGAAGTGCTTCCTGGTGCCCACTGAGCCCAGGGCCTGATGCTGAACTCTGCACCTTCATGGGAATGGGATCTGCTCCCATCAGCCCAGAAGACTCCATCCACATCTCCCATGGGGCCCGTTGTCCTCGGGAGTGGGTCCCCTGGGGGCATCTGCAGTACTTGGGCCAGGGATGTAGATCATGCCAGGCCTCAGCTGTGTGTCTTCCATCCAGATCTGTGTGGGCGTGGGCAGAAGCAAAGATGCTGACGGCTTCATCCGCGTCAGCAGTGGCAAGAAACGGGGCCTGGTGCCAGCCGACGCCCTGACCGAGATCTGATGGAAGCCAAGAAAACCCAGATGCCACCCCTGCCCATGCCTGGCCCTTGCTTCTGGCCCAGGAAGGGAGCAGGCATCCTGGCCATGCCCTTCCTCCCTCTGCCTCTCTCCTAGGCGCCACCCATCACAGCTTAGGAAACTTCTGCACTGAGGAAGGTTTATTTCTTGGGCAGGGTGCCCTTGAATGGGTTGATACTACTCTGGGACTTGGGAGCAGGGAGGAGAAAGTGGGAAGGAATAAGGTAGGTCCACCCAGTGCCCAGGTACGCCCAGTCCCCTTGTAATGCTGAGTCCTACCGTGGGGAGGATCCTTGCTGTGTCTTCCAGAGACTGTCCACATGCCTTTGCATGCCTGACCCACCCTCTCTGTCCACAGAGCCTTTGCTTGGGTCTATGTGTGTTTGCCCCTTTGCAAATGGGGCTTTGGGAGGGGGCCTATCCCTGTCCCTTAGCTCTCTACCCTGACTCAGGGCCATAGGAGAGCCCTGAGTCCATCTCTTGGTCTCACCACCTCTATCACTCCGTCAATTCTCAGGAAAGTTCTGCAGGAATCTCTCCCATTACTTGAAACCTGGGCGGACAGAACCCGGAAGGGCTGAGGTCTGAGGAGGGGGTGACAAATAGGAGACTGTCTCTTCAAGGAAGCCCATCACCACAGAGCAGCCTCGTCACACTTCGTTTACCAGAAGAGGGTGTCCAAGAACATCCTGGACACAGAAATCCAACGAAGAACAACACCCATTTCACTGTTGGTCCGCCACTCCCTCCGTCACCAGGAACAGCCAGCCAAGGGATTGTCAGTTCTAGTTCCCCCAGGAGCCCCACCCAAAGGACTGATTTTCCTTACCCCATCTTGCTGGAATCTGCAGTGCACAGAACTGATGTTTTGGGGGGCCCCTCTTGTTGGGTCTTCTTTGTCCAGGACAAAGAGCTGTGGGAGAATACATCCTGGGGTAGACAGGGAAGGTGGAAAGCTCAGACTGATGTCTGGGCTGGGATGTGAAGTAGCAAGGAGGCCTTACTATGGGGTGGGAAGTGTGAAAAGGACCTCTCCCTTGCAGGCTGCTTTTGTCTGGTGCCAGTCCCCTTACCCCCAAGCTCAGAGCCTCCTCTTGTGCCCTCGGTTGTGTCAGCCCAGCGCCACTCATCCTGGGCTCAGTCACACCCTCCATCCAGTGAGAGTGACACAGATTCTTCTATCCCACAGACCTTGCCCCACTTCTCCCCAGCAGAGGGGGGGCTCAAGCCACACTGCCCTGTTTGCTGCCATGAGGCCTCCCCCCGCCACCCTCCCGGGGTGGGCCCAATGCCCACTGTACATGAGGCTGCATGATGAGTCTACTGGGGTACTGCCAAACCCCCAGACTCCTAATTAAATGTTTCTTGTCCCAGCCTGACTACTTGCTGCATCTGACTGAGATGGAGGAAGGGTAGGGAGCAAAGGGTGGGGGGGTGCTTCCACAGGGGCCGCTGGGGGAGGGTGGGATCTGGGAGGTGTGGAGATCTCTGGAACCTGAAGAAAGGGGGGCGGGGAAGCGGTGATTTGGGAGGCTGGGGGGAGGGGATCCCCCCCCCCCCCCCCCGCAGTCACTTTCCCCATATCCTGCGCACTCGGGGCCGGGGGGGGGGGGGGGGGGGAGAGGGGGGGCGGTGTCTGGGTCACGGCCTGCCCATCAGGGGGTGCCCCTCCCACCCTAGGCCCTCCTGCCCTGGCTAGGGAAGGGTGCAGTACCCGCCCAAGATCAGCCTCACCCCGCGGTCCCCCAAGACCGAAACGCTGGCAGAGGGGACAGTTGCGGATATTGGGACCCTGAGGTGACTCAGCCGTCATCGGGAGCCTGGCGTGAGAGGCCGAGCGTGCCCCGCCTGGCGCAGCCGGCCCGACGCCCACCTGCTCCGGCACAGCGGCCTCCTTCTGCGCCTCTCGGGCAGCCGCGTCACCAACGCAGCGAGCACGTCCTGGGCTATTTATAGGCCGAGGGGAGAGCGGTGGAGCACGAGGCGGGCTGCGTGGGGGTGCCAGGGCACCGTGGCGCTGCCAGGCTGCAGAGGGGAGGGGCTTCTCTCCTGACAAGTGTCCCCCTCCCTTTCCTGGGTCCCAGAACCCACCCTCTGCGTTAGGAAGGGCAGGAGGGGCCAGACTTTGAGTCCCTGTCCTTGAGCTTTCTTTGGGGCTCTTCACCCAGAGAAGGACCTAAAAATTGGATGTGTGTGTGTGTGTGTGTGTGTGTGTGTGTGTGTCAGAAGAGGAGGGCAGCCCTCTCCCTTTCTATGATCCCTGTCTGTGGGAGTAGAAGAAGGAAATAAAAAAAGGAGGGGGGTCACTCACCTAGATTGAAGGCTCAGAGCTGGACACTGGTGGCTCATGCCTAGTTACTCTGGAGGGCGAGATCTGAGCATTGCAGTGCAAAGCCAGCCACGGCAAGAAATTCCAGGAGACTTGTATCTCCAATTAGTCATCAAAACTGGATGTAGAGCTGTGGTGGGTCGAGAGGCACAGCACCAGCCTTGAGCAGAAACAGCTAAAGGATCACACCTAAGCTGTGAGTTCAAGCCTCAGTCCTGGGGCAGGAAAAAAAAGGAGACTCATAGAGAGGGGAACTCAGATAAAGACATCTGCTGTACCAAAAGGAGCATGCCCCGGGCTGGGAAGGTGGCTCCGTGGTAGAGCACTTGCCTTGCATGCCTGAGGCCCTGGGTTCGATTCCTCAGCACCACATAAGCAAAAAGAAAAAAGCCGTAAGTAGTTCTGTGGCTCAAGTGGTAGAGCGCTAGCCTTGCATGCCTGAGGCCCTGGGTTCAATTCATCAGCACCACATAAACAAAAAGAAAAAAGCCAGAAGTGGTGCTGTGGCTCAAGTGGTAGAGCGCTAGCCTTGAGCTGAAGAGCTGAGGGACAGCACCCAGGCCCAGAGTTCAGGCCCCACATCCGGACCCCCCCCCCCAAAAAAAGCATGCCCCAAACTTCCTGTGTTTTATTTCTCTTCATGATTCCATAGGGAAAGCCTTGCTGAACCCCCTCCACAGATGAAAATACTGAGGCATAAAAATGGTAAGTGGTTTGTTCATCCAAGGCTAAGACCAATCTGCCCTTTTCAACACAAGGACGTTGAGGCCCAGAGCCAGTAATGACTTATCACAGAGTAAATCAATGGTCACTGTTTTTGTTTTTTGGTGCTAGTCCTGGGACTTGAACTGAGAGCTTCACTTTATTGCTCAGCTTTTCTGTTTATGATTGGCACGCTACCTTTTTTTTTTTTTTTTTACTAGTTAATTGGAGATTAAGAATCTCACAGACTTTCTTCCTGCCCAGGCTGGCTTGGAATCATAATTCTCAGATCTCAGCCTCCTAAGTAGTTAGGATTACAGGCCTGAGGCACAGGTGCCGGGCAATGACTGTCAATAGAAACCACTTTTTCCCTCAGTTCAGCTGTTGTCCTAACCCTAGTCCTTCAATGCCTTAAATCACCAAGATGGAGCTAGAGACAGGGCTCCAGGGATGGATCTCCCACCTCACTGGAAACAGCAAAACTTTTGTAGCCACGCCTCTGCTCACCCAGAGTCTGCCACTAGCCAGCAGCTGGTCTGGACCCTCCTCCTCCCCAGCCTGTTTGCTGCACTGCTGAGCACAGCAGCTTTTTCTGGTGGCTGACAGCATGTTCCTAGCCTAAGGGCTGGGAACAGCTGGTATCCCCATAGTAGCCCCTGCTGCCTGCCTCTGTGCCTACTCTTAGGGATTTGGACCCACAACAGCATTGGCCTAAATCAGAGAATGTCCAGGAGCCCTCTGGTAGGGCATCTACCATTTGTCTCTGCTCTCTGACCTACACTTGCCCTTCACCCCCACCCCAGCCTGATTTTCACCTCATTTGCTGGCAATATGCTGGGTAAATGATACTCTGACTCAGGTAGAGGTGCAAAAAAGAGAGTCTGGGAGCCAGACAAGGGACAGAGACTATAGATAGTGAGGTAGAGCAAGGCATAGGAAGCCCCTCCATGCACCCCCACCCATCTTTTGTATGTGTGCCAATACTAGGGCTTGAACTCAGCTAAACTCTCACTTGGCTTTTTTCTTCAAGGAATCCTCAGATCTCAGTATCCTGAGTAGCTAGTATAACAGGCATGAGCCACCAGCGCTCAGTTCCCAGCTATCCTAGCCTACTCCTTTCCACTCCTTTGGCCTTCTGCATCCCATTGCCACCCAGGGCTTGAATCAGCTATAGGACCTGCTGAAGGAATGCCTCTGGGGATGTCTAGCCTGTCTCTAGTCCCTGTCTCAGCTATAGAAAGGAGGCCAAAGTTCCTCATAGCCCTTTCTTAGCTCACAGCCCAACTGCATGCCTTCACAGTGTCCGCTCTGAGTCACACCCTCCCACAGCTGGTGACCCAGAGCTGGACTCAGATGATACTAGTGGGCAGGTAACACAAATTCTGGTGAGTCATTGGCTCATTGGGGCCTCATTTTCTCATTGAGATGTAAGCTCAAAGAGTGTCTCTTGGTGGACAGTGAACCCCTTGGAAAAGCATGAGTTATGAGGTCAGTTGTAGGCTTTTGAAAAGATACACCTTTTTTGGGGGGGTGGGGGGAGTTGTGTACTGGAGATAGAATACAGAGCCTTGTTTGTACTAAGCATACACTCTACCATTGAGCTGTACCCCTAGCCCCAGGTACATCCTTTAACTGGATCTTCATGAAGCTCTAAGCTCTAGAAGAGATGCCCCTATATAGTTCTTTCTGTTTGAGGCTTCCTGGGATTTGACCATTCCCTACCCCCATCCAAAGCACTGCTCTAGAAAGGGGTTGGAGGCCCATATGGTTTACTTAGGGTGTTAGCCAACCAGTAGTAGGTAAGGTTCAGAAAAGTAACATGGGGCTAAGGTGTAGGTAGCAGTGATAGAACTCTTGCCTAACATGTATGGAAGAAGAAGAGTGACTCAAAGCTTCTGAGAGGCAGGTCTCTCAACACAGCCCATCCTAAACCTTCCAAAAAATAAAAACAAAAAAACCCAATCAGCTAATGAACCAAACAAAAAGGCCCAGAGAGGACTGTGTATACCCATAGTGACCTGTGAGTGAATAGCACCACCTCCTGGCCGAGGGTGGAACTGGCCATAAGCTCAGGGCCTGTGAATGTCCAATGCTTGGAGTACCTTGTTCTCTACTGAAGATGGGGTGGGGAAGGCTGGTCGCCAACACCCTTTCTAATTCAAACCTGGCAAAGACATTTCCCCACATCGAGATGCTATTTGGCTATGGCCTTTCCCCTTCTGGGCCTCAATGTTTCCACTTAGGAAGGCAAAGATTTAGAGCCAGAGCCCATGGATAAAGAGCACACAGGGCCAGGCACTGGTGGCTCACACCTGTAATCCTCGCTGCTGAGGCTGAGATCTGAGGATCATGGTTCAAAGCCAGCCTGGGCAGAAAAGTCTGTGAGACTCTTATCTCCAACTAACAACCAGAAAACCAGAAGTGGTGCTGTGGCTCAAGTGGTAGTGCTCGCCTTGAGCTGAAGAGCTGAGGGACAGTGCCCAGGCCCAGAGTTCAAGCCCCATGACAGGCGGGTGTGTGTGTGATGGAAGCACACAGGCTGTTCTAGTGGACAAGGGAGTTCCTTGCCCTGGGCTCTGATGCCCATGGCTGGAAGTGTGGGTGGATCCTTTAGATGTTTTAAGTCTAGGCTTCCCAGTCTTCTCCGCCTGGATAGGGATTATGGAGCTGAGCTGAGTCTGCTAGTCCCAATGCTACTTCAGACCCTCCTCTTCCATGTACCCTGCACATCTCAGAATACTGCTGCTGGTTATTCTAAGCATTCCCAGAACTAGATGGGGAGCAGGGAAGTAACCAGCAAGGGCATACACCTGGTCAAGTTGTGCTTTATTATACTAAGCAGGTGCCCCTTGGCCCAACTTTCTTCCCCAAAGTCAGTCCAAGTTGTAACACTCACATGTAGCTGCCTGAGACCTCTTCCACAAAGATATATGGCCCTTATTGCCACTCAACTACTCTTCCTCTCCCCGTCCCTACATTGATTGGTTTATGCCTTATACCTCCAAGGCTTGGAGGCTTACTGCTTTCATCTTCAGTGTCTATTCCACTCCTATCTTAGTTCAGGCTCTGTAAAACTTATAGATCCACAAGTGGAAATGGTGACCTTACTTCAGTATAGAATCAATGGAAGTCGATGTAATATACTTGTAAGTACTTGGCTCACAAAGCAGATTTTTATTGAAAAAATTATTGGCAGTTGTCACTACCAGTTAAGTGGGTAAAATAAAACCACTTCCTGCTAACGGCAGAAAAAATTCATTAAGCTGACATAAATTAAGCAACTCAGCAACTTTAATGAGACTGACATGCCTGTATTCCGATTCCTGCTGGATGAGGTCATAAAC